TGTAGATATAAAAAGGGTGGCCTATCGACCTTATCGCCAACACCCTTGCTGCCTCACGCCTCCGCTGGTACGGTCATGTCCTACGAAGACCCCCTGATGCTGTGTCCAAGTCGGCAGACAACATAGTGTTCGTCGGTACACGTCCAAGGCCGACCCAGAAAGCGATGGCTAGACAACCTGAAATACGACATGAATGCTGCGGACCTGTCTGCAGCCGATGCATGGAACCGGGATCGCTGGAAAACATTGGTGGAAAAAGCGTACCCGACAAGAGTTGGACAACAACGCTAAGAAGAAGAAGATATAAATGGGTGGAAGTGGTTTAGCGGCAAGTGGATCTCCTGGGTCGGAAACCGGGCCAACCAAGCCTTCCATCCTACGGTACCAGACTTGTCTGGGAGGATAAAAACACTGACTTGTACATCGGCTGGCCCCGCAAGTCATTGTATAGGCCACATCGCATTCAAACGCCACTACGAATGTACAAATAGAATGCGTGCCGCATCCCAAACGTTGATCAACGGCAAAAGCTTTATCCTTTAGCTTTTAGCTTTATAGATATAGATCAGAAGAGATGTGTTTCTGAGCATAAGTTTTCAAGTTAGATAATTCAATATTGTTTACAGGTCATAGTGGGCATTGCTGCCACTGAGCATGTCATGCCCTCAAGTATAGGGTGGTCCGTTTCTGGTGGATCTATAGGCATGGCGTTCGATAAGATCAAGGAAGAGTATGATTTCAGTGACTTCAATTTCAGGTAATTTTGTTATTTATGTACTTCTTATTTTACTTCGTTTAGTCAAGCAACATCAGCTACTTATACCTTGTGTATTATTAATGCAATAATTTACTTCTTGAATTGCCTCTGAACAACTCTAGCTAATTCAGTTTTCTTGTGGAATACACCGAATGCGATCGTGTGAAGACAGTTGGTGTTGGTATCGAGTTTATGATGAGGCAACAAAGCCGATGTTGTCATTGGGCCGCCTTGCCCAGACGGTAAGTCTCGTTTGAGGGGCGCGGGTCGTGATCAGATAATTGAAGGAATCCCTCCTTGTGCAAGGTCCCAGGTTCTCCAAGCACAGGGGTGGTGGTACCGTCGCGACCTGAAAGTGTGAAGACAATTGAGCAATACCTTCGCTTGACCGCTGCGCCTGCTGCCATCCTTATGACTCGCAGCAGACGTGGTGTCTGTGTCCTCTCGCGTATTACGTGCTCTCTCGCTATCCCTCCTCGGATTGCTGTGTCTCTACGTCATACCATGGCCGATCACAAGAAAATTTCAGTGGTCTATTTTGCTTTTTGCTTCTTCCCCTAGCATTCTTCCTTGCCTCGTCTGATTTTTGAACAATTTATCAGACCATCTGAATGAGACTCGTACCTCGTAGAGGCACTTATTGAAGGATTTCATTGACGCTCTCGCAAACACAATGAGAGGTTTCGCAGTTTCCACTAAAACAAGAATTGATTAATTTCGAGTTTCGCAAGAGGAGTGGGGATTGGGTAGAACTGCCCCTGACAGTCAAGTCAAGCTCATCATGTAGAGGGGGGAGAGGGAGTGGGGGAGGGAGCAAAAAAGCCGTTTTGTCAATGACGCGCGTTGGCGAAATTTCATGTTTCATTAAGGGGACGATGTTCCTCGTACGGAATCCTTCGTAAAAGAATGCGATAGTATGGGGTACGGTAAACTGGTGCGAATACCCGATCAGACTCTTGCTAAAAGTTAATAAATCAGATCGCGAAAAAACTCCCTTTTATCCCCCCACTCTATAAAAAATTCGCTTCATCTTGTAGTGAAGCCTCTATATGTGTTTGCCGCCGTTTCCTACCTGAAATATTCAGCGTTGGCTGTAGAAATGCAGAATCCTTATAGGCTCAATAATTCAATGCTCAGTGGAAATAAATTTGTTCTTCCCCTTTACCTTTTTAGAGTTATCAGCTCTTGTTAAATATGCGTCTTCAGGGCTTTGTAACGCTTTCGGTTCCAATTATTAGATGTTAGCTGCCTCGCACCATACCTGTAAGATTCCAATTCAGCCACTTCCTATTCTGAGTCGACCTTCACAAGTGTCCAGTGGAAGTGATCTTGAAGTTAACTTCGTTACGACATCAAGGGATTTCTCTAAACACCCAGCTATCACATTTCCTACGTCGCACGGGTGAAGGTTGCTAGAATTCCAGGACCCAAACAGATTTTCTGAACAAAGGAGGATTAAAGGCAGTGATTACGATAGATTCAAGAAGGGTTTATAGGAGACTGGTGGTGCTCAATGGTACGCCAGTAGCGAAAAAAGCGGAGAAATCCGTCAAGAAAACGCAAAACGGGACCCCCTTTTTTGGCCGTTGGTTTTCACTCATGAACAGGTAACAGCTCAGAAAGCGGACGTATGAACGAGTTCAGCGCAACGCGTTTGGTGACACATGCCAATCCATGCTCAGTCGAGTTGCTCAGTTGTGCCGCTGCTGGCAACGCAGCTCGTCCAAATCACCAACTAAACTAGTGGGCGGATCGCTTTTGGGGGCGGAGTGCTTTCGAAGTCCTGCTCAGCAACCAGCAA